AATATAACAAGGATTTTTTTAATCGCTGTTGCATGATGATTCTTTCTCTTTTAATATTATTTTCAATTTTTTCCGCATTTCGTTTTGCTTTTGTTCTTGAAATTTTTTCAACAAAAGTCATTTTTAACTCTGCATACGTTGTTGCAAAAACAAAACTGACAACCTTTTTCAATAGCTTTTTCAATTTTAGTCCAGGTTTCAACACAATCATGTTTTTTTTTTTTTCTTTTGTTCATTGTGACAGTGTGAATGCTGGAGAATAGTTTCTTTGGAAGATTTTATATCATACAATGTTGACTTTCCTATGTTGAACTCACAATGAACTTTCACCAGCGTCTTGTCTGTTTAAAATTTACACTTTTTGCGATAACTCTAAAGTTGTTCTTTTCCTCTTATTTCCATCATCTTTTGCACCAATACAAGCCATTAGGGTAAATTAAGCATAAGCAATTATCGAAAGTAAATTTCCTGAAAAACAGAAATTTGAAATCAGTTATATATCACCCAAATAGTTCAAATATGCACATAAAAATCATGTCCGGATATGTGGGATTCCGGATATGAGGCACTTCGAATATGAGGGATTCCGGATATGAGGGATTCTACTGTAGTAGTAGTAGTAGTAATAATAATAACAACAAATCTAGTATTTTTAAACTCTAAGATGAAACAAAACAAATATAACTGATGCCATTTGGTAATAAGAAAATATATAAGGCTTCTTTAGTTAGAGAATTAAAATCACTGATCAGTAACTTCTATCCCAGGAACTGCTCCGTGAAATGTAACTCTAATTAAAATGTTGTGGCAACATTTCTATTCTGACAAATGGATTTTTGGAGGTGATTCCTATATGGATTGTAGCTTTTAAATATTATATGTGAAAAGCTAAAATGGAGTAAAATGAAATTTCATTTTCGTTATTAAATGCTCTTTTAGGAAGAAAAACAGTACAAACAGCAAAAAGTTATGTGCAGTTTATGGAGATGGTGCTGTAGCTGAAGGTAATGCTGATAGGTTGTTTGCTAGGCTCAGTTTATTTATCTGGAGGACTGAGAATGTTCAGGTAGGCTAGCAGTAGTTGTTGATGAGGAAATCGTAATGCCACTTAAGAATGATCGCACTCCACGGAACAACGCCGAGATGCTCCCTGAGTTCATATGGGCGTTGTGGATATCAGAAAACACTTAGGGGCGTGAAAGGTTGTGTGCCTCATGATTTAACGATCATATTTTCCATTTAAGTTCAGCGTTCAAAACGCAGGAAAAACGAACCGTTATTTGAAAAAAAAATGGGAGATCACAGACGAAGCAAAATTGATTGCTTACAACAATGTGGAGCAAAAACGGTTCTGGGGAAAAACGAAATACGTCAGCGGTAACCACTAAAAACAAGAAGGTGATGCCGTGTATCTGGTTGGATTCGAAGGATATTACGAGTTCCTTCCTTAAAATGAGACACATATATTCAAACACTTATATTCGGGATAAATATTGTTGCCAGTTGAACTGATTAATTGATGAAAAGTTTATCGGGAATTAGTCAATTGAAAATGATGTCGTCAGATTTTAATTAGCACACTTCGATCCCTACTAAATTCTCTTAATGGGAAGAAATTTAGTCATCTAGAGGCCTGTAAAAACCACTTAATATAGTTCATGACCCTGAAAGATGCCATGTTCTGACAGGATGGTATCATGAAATTGACTCAGAGATGACAAAAAGTAGTGGAAGACAATGACACATATATGACTGAATAAACCTTTGATCAATAAATCTTTGATCAATCATCTAAAATTATATATATATATATATATATATATATATATATATATATATATATATATATATGGATATAAACCAAATAATTAGATATTAGCAGCCGTATATACGTGCGTTATCCAGCATACGCACGTAAGCGAATAAATATTTACTCAATTTAATATAAGGTGTAAACAAAACAGTGCTCAATGTGTGTTAAACAGAGCTAAGAGGTATACATTAGTAAATATACATATACTTACGTTGGAATTGCAACTTAAAGTTTCGTGGTTCGCTCAACTCATCAGGCACGAATTATTATTGTTATTGTCCAGGTTAGGACCAAGGAAAAACAACACAAACACAAGAGTAGAAATAACAAAGGTATATTACACGAAATAATAATAGATGTGGAAGTTGTTAGTATGACTGTCAGTCTGGTTTGGAGTGAACTACTATCGGCTCGACTCGATTCGTCCCTCTCTCTTGAGAGGCGTAGTATACATAGTGTTAGGAAGAGTTCATTCTGTAGTTATAGGTAAGGACCCATGACACCCCCTCCCAAGCTTTTACCTCGCAGAGGTCTTTAATATTTTTCCTCTCCAGGTTAATCATCAAAGGCTCTGTAAATTTTCTTTTTCTGCTTAATTTCTGCGGTTCTGAAATTACTTGAGGCCTTTGCATATTGAATGTGTCAAATATTGAATCCATTACTTCCTCCTCTTCCTAAGGTAGACCGTTAGAATCCTCTAACAGCCTCTTTCTGATCTAAGTGCCTTTTATGCGAGAACTTCGGACCCTGAATTATGTAAATCACGTTCCCGATTCGTTTCTCTATTGTATCTGACTCCCAATAGGATGTGTTGTTTTTGAACATTTAAAAAAAAAAACTTTCTCCCCTGGGTTAAATTTTCTTTTTGGTACAAACGACGTTGGTGATTGCTTTGTCTGTTTTGGTAGTAATTTGTCGAATACCCATCTAATTTTTACCTCCACCGGCGATAATGCCGATGGCGTAGTACTGTTCGGTGTAATTCTATACACTTGCAAGAATTGTTGTAAAGCCTTTTCTGTTGGTACGTCATAAGCTTTCCTTAGTGCTCTTTTTAATGTATCTACAAACCTCCCCGCTTACTCGTTTGACCTTGGGTGATATGGCGGAGATTTGATGTGTTTCACCTGAAAAGTTTCACAAAATTCTTGAAAATCCGCAGATGTAAATTGTGTCCCATTATCGGTGACTAAACAATCAACCACTCCGAAACGAGCAAACAGCTCGTGAAAGCAATTTATTGTCGTCTCAGAAGTAGGTTTTCTACAACGAAATACTTCTGGCCATTTGCTGTAACTGTCTACTACAATCAAGTAGTAAAAACCCTCTAATGGACCTGCGAAATCTACATTGATTCTCGACCACGGTCGACCTGTCTGAGGCCATGGCTTATGAGTGATCGGAGGTGCCTTGGCTGCTAAGGGACAGCCCCTGCATTTGTCCACCATATGTGTAATATCTTGATCCATGTTTTGCAAGTACACGTAACTTCGCATTAAGGATTTCATCCTGTTCTTTCCTGGGTGGCCCATGTGAAAATCCTTGAGGATTCGCCTTTGTAGCGTTTTCGGGGTTACTACTCTTTCATTATATAGCAGAACATTATCACATAACGAAAAACTGTCTGATATATGCTTTTCTTTTCCTGCAATTTTTGTTTTCGTTTCCTTTATAAATTCGTCATTCACTGCTTCGTTTCTTATTTCCTGTAATGTGACGGGGGGGGGTCGAATTGTACTACATAATGATGTTCTCATATCTTCCTCATATCGTAGAGCTGCAGTTACGGAATCTTCTAATCGCTCTGTTTTCTTTGGTATTAGTCTCGAAAGACCGTCTGCATGGCCGATTTTGTTTGATGGAAGATACTCCAATTTGAAATTATAATTTAATAAAATCGTACCCCATCTTAGTAATCTATTAGCAATGTAGACAGGTAGACATTTCTTTGATCCAAATATTGTTAGTAACGGCTTGTGGTCCGTCTGCAAGGTGAAAAATCTACCGTAAATATATCTGTGGAATCTTGTAATCGCAAAAATAATCCCCAGCGCTTCTTGTTCGATTTGCGAGTAATTTTGTTCGGCTGGTAGTAACGTTCTTGACGCATGCGCGATGAGTTTTAGTGTCTCATCCGACATTTTATGGAGTATACATGCCCCAACACCATAGGCACTCGCGTCACTCGCGACTATTATTTCCAATTTTGGATCATAATGCGCTAAAAATAAATCTGCTGTTAAAGTCTTAATGATTTTGTCGAAAGTTTTCTGACATTCATATGACCATTCCCAAACTTTTTCCTTCTTCAACAGTTCGTTTTGGGTGCGCGTAATTTTTGCTTGTTAGGAATAAATTCTTGATAATAATTTACTAAGCCCAAGAAAATTTGTAATTCGGCTAAATTTTTTGGAGCCGGCAATTTTTTTTTTATTGCCGTGGCTCTTTCTGGGTCTGGTCTTCTTCCTTCTTCGTTAATAATATGGCCCAGATATTTTATCTCCTTCATAAAGAAGTCACATTTATTTTTCTTTACCTTAAAACCGTAATTTTGTATTTGCCTGAAAACCTCTTGAACGTGTTCCCAGTGTTGTTCAATATTTTGCTATTTATCAGGACTTTTAATTTCCTCTTAATTACCCTCACTTCGTCTTCGGAGACTGTACCAAACAACACGCTCAATGCCTTTCCCATTATAGGTAGTACTGCCCTCCTTTGCCTGGTTCGTAACAACTTTATTACCTTCAAATAGTAACTCATATCCTTCCATTGTCTCTCAAGTATAGGGATTCCTGAGCTAAAGGGTATAATATACGGTGGTATTCCGGAGTCTGTAAATATTCTCCGGCGACTTGTGCCCTGGCTGTATCTAGTTTGTTCACTTCGATCTTCAACTGACCCAGTAACTTCTCATACGGCTGCAGGTATATCACCAAAGTTATCAACCACTTTGTTCTAGTTATAACTACTTCGCTCGTCTTCTTAAATACACTATTCTCACTGTGTTCCCAGGTATAAACTACCAGAACCAGCATCATCAGTACCGTGAGCCTCCTCTCATCCATGTCTGCAAGGATATGGAGAGAATAATTCGTCTTACTCAATCATTCTGTTTTGGTTTCGAATGGGTGGTTATATCTTAGAGCAACATATCAAGCACTGACCCGCACCACCACCAGTGCCGTGCATGCATGGGGGCCTTTCCACGCAACCCACAACACCGAGGATAATTGCCCAGTCAGTCTCAGATCGTTACTCATTCGGCACAACCACTGTACTGATCCACTTACTCCCTTGGGCTCGGGCTGCACCGCACCCCCAACCCTTAAGATATGTTCCTACACCTCCTCTTATCCTATCCCAGAGTCGCTCGCTGGTCCCAGCTGCTTCTATGGCTGCGGCCAGGGTGACCGGCTCCGCCTTCAGAACATCGCCCCTCAGGTCCCTGTCGCTCAGCGCGTCTACATCGGCCAACAAAGCCTGAATAGGGCCACTGTCCCGAGTCACCAATTCCGGAAAAGCTAATGCTGCTAGCCCCGCGACTCTTTCTCCCAATTCTTCATTTGTCTCTCCTTCCTGTTACTGCAGCCGGAATAATTTCCTGACTGCCTCAATGGCCGTACGCTTACTTGCACCAGAGCGGATTTAAGCTCTGTCCATGTCGAGGCTGGGTTTTCTTTGTACCATGCCCCTATAAAATTAGACGCCTGCCCCGCTGCGGCATCGTAAGCCAAGTGTGGTGAATGCGATCAGTAAATTGTCCTGTGATATTTAGTATTTATTATTTAACCAATCACAGTTGAGAAAAATGTAGGCGTGGCAACATAGTCGTAATCACTATATAAATACTTTTCATCTTTTAAAGAAAGTAAAAATTCTTTTTTTTTTGTCTTAGGAATGTAAAAACTTGCTTTAAGTAAAATAAAAATCCTAAGTAATGCAGTTTAAAAAAAAACAAAAAAAACAACTGCTGTTTTTAGATAATGCTCAATTGATTTTTGTTTTAAGAAATTGTAAATGTTCACTTTTATTTCACAAAATATGCTTTTCTTTTTTTCAAAAGAGTAAAAGCACTTTAATACATTAGGATTGAGACAATGAGCTCATGACTTAAAGTGCAACAGATAAAAAATAACTAGTTATTTTTAAATCAGGAAAGAAATTATAAAAGTTTCCTAAGAAATCGGATTTGAAATTAACATTCAAACAACCCTAATAGAGGTTATAGGAAATTTAAGCTTCTTGAGCATGTATTATCTGCTTTTCTGAGAGAAAACATATGCTGTGTTGGGCTTTTGCTTAAATTTTTTAATTTCAAAAATATTTTTGATGCATTTCGATTTGTGGGAAAATAGCTGCGTTTGTTTTTCTTTTGGAACCAATCAAAAGGTTTCTCTCCAAATTCTGAGAAGTAAATCTGGAGCCTAACTGGGTGAATAAAAGGAAAGGCAGGAATTGAATTCGTGGCGGCGACAAACAGGTTGGCTTGGTCAAGAAGAAAAACAACTCAGTAGAAATTTGACCACCACCAGAAAGGAACATCAAAGTTGCTCCCACATCAAACTTTGCTGTTACAATGAACTTTCCTTCAAAAATTGTACCTATTCTTTGAAAACTATTCAGAGAAGTATTTTTACCCTTTCATCATTTATTTTTATGTTGATTACCTTTTCTGAGAACCGTATGTTGCATTTTAAATTTTATTGTAAAAGACGCATAATTCATTTGCATTGATTATTTTTATATACATGTTATTGGTCATCATTCAGCACACAAAGCAATTAATTTGTGTAATTCTTTCATTTTTGTGTGTTAACAATAAACTTATTGTCTGTTTTTTTTTTAGACTCGGCTTGTGTCATCTGTCCTTGTGTGCCCTTATAAATTTGTTGCATCCACTGGTTTAGCAACCAGAAGTGGATTAGCTCCCTTGACTGACGATGGTTTTGTTATATGCCTCTGTAATGGTCTAATTGTTTTCTCGCCCCATGTCAAACATCGGGGTTACCATTTCTAGTGGTATGTTGATAAGGATGGATGGTTTGTAGATGGCTGTTTACGGCTGCGTGAATAAACATGACCACACAATTTATATTAAACGTAAAATACCACAAAACATGAAATGCAAGAAGGAACAAAAATGGTTTTAAAAACATAACATTTGTATTTATTTGTGTATATTGATGTACATGTGTAGAAGTTAAAGATCTTAGTTATGTCCCTTAGACTGTGAATATTTTTATCTGAACTCACAAAAGTTGAATTAATTACAAAGCTGAGAAATGATGAATAAGAATGTTTCAAAGAGAAAAGTTCATGTTGATTGTTTGGAAATATTCTGTATCTTTGTAATGTAGCTTGAAAAAGTTCGTACGTACGTGCGTGCGTGAATGTGCTTTTAACGTCTCACCGCCCATAGTCGAGACAAGAATCCTTTTGCAACTACATCTTGTAGTGAGAAGAGAGAGAGAGAGAGAGAGAGAGAGAGAGAGAGAGAGAGAGAGAGAGAGAGAGAGAAAACAGCAAGCTTGTGTCTACTATTTATAGATAATGTAATCACGTGACAGGCTCACAGTAAATGGCGGGAAAACTTGACTTGGTCACGCGCTGGAAAAAAATATTTGTACGTGGGTGGGTTGCAACGCCCACTTATGTGTTTATTGACCAATTAGAAGCTGATATTTCCTGAAAATATTTACTAAGTTGAGTAGGCTCTCTGATCCACTTTTTTGCACAAAATTGTACAAAATTAGGCATTGATAAGAAAGTGATAGCGGGATGCTAAACCTCCATGTACAAGTGTTTCTCAATTCTAGCAAAACTTTCAGTGTTTCAACAATTATGTATATACAGTACATAAAATTGTATTCCGGAAAAACTAGTAGAAACCTTTACTTAAAGAAAATATCTTTTCTATATATCTACTTAATTTCTTAGGCAAAGAAATAGGAAAGACAAGCCAAATTACGTGACCTTATATATATATATATATATATATAAAGAGCTCTGTAAAAGAAAGGTTGGGCACTTTTCCTCCGGGGTTACATGCTGATCCTGTCATTGTGACAATAATGATCGCCTATCTGACCGGAAGTGTTGCCTCAAAGGAAGTAGAAGCAGCTTCCGCCTAATTCGTAAAACAGTCCTCCTTCCTGTTTGCTTTCACCTCTTTCTTCTCGGAAAGATGTAGACATTACCTTTCGTTTCTCTTCTCAGCTTACCCTCTCTCGGGAAGATGCAGTGAATATGCTTTTCCTTTCTTTTCTTTGCCATCGTTCCGGATTTGTCGATTGAGCATATCCCATCATTTCCGTTCAGCAACCCAGTCTTTTGTTTAAATTCATTCTTGTTGCATTGTTAATTTATTCATTGTTTTTGCATGTTAATTCTTTTAACATTTGTTCGCAGAAACACCATCAATGCTATCATGTTTGGTTACTTAGCAACCACATTTCAGCGTTATTTTTCATCGGCACATCGCCATATTGATTTCTACTTAGCAACACTGTATTGTGATTTGGTTTCCCACCAATTTCTGGATTTACGTAACGACATACCACGTATGGCATTTATTTAATTTCAACATGCCGCCATTTTTGAATTTTACTTACTTTTATCAAGGACTATAACGCACGAACATTTCCAAAGACTTACCTGTGCTTGTGGTTACCTTGCTCCTTTTCAGGACTATTAAATTAACCACATTTGTATATCTACACATTCACACTTTTGAACATTTTAAGTGTTTTAACATTTCACCCCTTACCAGTTGGTGACTCCTTTCCATTCTTACAAATCAACAAATGTATATAATTGTAAATAAGTTGTTGGTTGTTTGCCAATAATAAAACTTTGGCTTTTGTATTAAGAACCCTGCCTTTGTTGTAACTCAGTTTTTGGTGTCAATATCTTCCTGTATATTTCTTATATTTTAATTTTATGTAGTATCCCCTCTGTGGGCTACTACAAATTAAATGTTACCTCAAAAGTTTATTTGAACTATTTTTTTTCGTAGTTTTTTTTTTTACCAAATAAAAAATCCTCGAAGGTAGACTATCGATATCCAACCCATTTTACACACAGACTTACTTCAACTACCACCCAGCAACAAATCCCACTCTCTCAAACAAAAAGATTCCATGGAACCAAGTAGACAACACTTTTTCGGCAAAACTTTAATTTTTTTTGTTTTATTAAGGCGTAAATATAACAGAAATAAACATATCTTATGGTTCAACCCACTATATAATAAAAGCAAATATAGGTTGACAACACTTACCAAAATCGAGTAAACGGCACAAAATATTCAACATAAATGCTCTAAAATTTAGCTTCACCGAAAATATACTATAAACTAGCAGCATTAGCCGGCGTTGCCTGGGTTTATTCAAAAAAGATCATGAACCTCACCCAATCTGTAAAGTTAAAATAAAGAAGATTTTTTTAGTGTCTCTTATCTATATGGCGAAAAATTATAATGACATGAAGTGTGAAAACATTTATAACGGGAGAAAGTTGTTTTTTACAGAAGCACAGAAGATACAAAAATATCTGTAAGCAAATGAAGAGTACATTACTCGCAATCGATCTTCGAAAATTGTTGAGGAGAAATGCTTTGTTGACAGATTTTGCTGAAACTACATCGAATGAACAAGATGCATTGGAAGGAGGAGAAATTCAACAAAGACTTCTCCTAGCAGCCGTGCCAGTCTAATTTGAATTTCTTGTTGCGAAGCGTTTCTTCTGTGCTTTCATGCGTTTGGCTGTAGTAGTAGCACGTCCATGTGAAGGATTTCGCTTTCTTGGCATTACTGTCAGGCTGTAGTTGGAGAGGTTTGCCTAAGCTTTTTGAATAACAATGAAGTAATCAATTAGAAAGCAAGAATATTATACACATTAATGGAAATATAGCCACAATAAATTAAATGCAAGTTTATAAGGGAGATCACTGGAACGTGGTAAACAATTATAAGCAAGCTCGTAAAGTTAGGATTTATCTAAAAATAGGCTACCAAAAAACGTTCTAGTGATAAAAATTAACGTGCAGTTAGAAACCTACTCACTATGAACGTTAAGACGTACACGCTAAGTTTAGCATAACTATAAATGAATCGAAAGAGGGTCTGTACATAAGTGCATTTTTCAGAATAAAACTGTGAAAGTTTTAGGGCTCAAGTTTCCAAATATATGAGTTAGTAAGCATGATTTAAACGCTGATTAGAAGATGATAAATACATAATTAAAAATTGGCATTTACGCGTAGACTTTTTTAATAATATGATTTTCACAAATTTAAAGTATCAAAAATTCAAGATATACATGCATGAAGGCAGCCTACCTTTTTTCTGGATGACAACTTTAATGCGAATGAGATTTTTTGTATTTATTTCATCACATAGCACTAATAAACACTACACGTGAAGCAGAATCGATAATACGCACTACATAACTCGATCGATCATTGCACTTGGAGCAAAATCAGTTGTACGCACTACATATCTCGATCGATCTCGCACACGCGTCTTATACCTACGTGCACTTCTCTCATCGGCGCACACTTTCGTTTGCACTTATTCTTTTTTTCTTAAGGAAGGATATAATTTTTGCCGTCAAGTTAATGCAAACTAAACTATTTCAGTACCAAAACGGGAAATCCATGGGAAAAACTGATATTTTTCATAATGTATTTATGACATATGGGGTGTCAGTTTTGATTTTGAGTTGATTAATCTAAGCACAAATTATGTGCAATTTTTCATCGGAATGCTGCTAACCACTACAATTGAAAGACTAATGGGGCATCTTGGGGGAACGTTATGTAGTTTTCAAAAACTGATATTCGTTTTTGATTCATTTTAAGATTGTAACATACGTGTAAAATTCCGTCAAAATCGAAGCAATTGAAAATTTGGTGGTCCCTTTGGTTCATTCTTGAGGTCCCAAATTTCAAGCCAAAGGACAGGTTTAAGACTAATAGTAATTGAAATAATAAGCACATCTTTTTAAGTTTTCTATTTAATCGAATTTATCGCCAAGGCTGTAGACTTAATTGAAAATTTCGGAGTTCCCCTAACTCGTGGGGGTCCCAGTGTTGATTTTCAGTGAATTCAAGTGACTACTTCAGTTACTCGATATAATCTCAATATGTACTGAAATTTTTGTTGAAATTGGAAATACTGCTACAAAATACACTTGAAAAGCAATTGAGGCATCAAGGGTTTATAGGGTCATCCTGGGGCCCCCTCATGCATTTTTAAAATCTGACAACCGATTTCTATCTCATTGTAAGAGCGTAACAAACATGCAAAATTTCATCAAAATCGAAGCAATTTGAATTTTTGGGGGTCCCAAATTGAGAGAAACGAAAATCAATATAGCGTATAATAAGCGTGACAGTAAGTTATAATACATTTATCAAGTTTCATTAAAATCGGCCTTAGGGGTTTAGACTTCAAGTCGGAAAGTTTAAAAACAACCAAATTAATGGAAATTCCCATTTAAACATTATATTTATCGATTATCGGTTATTGATTTTTGAAAAATGACTATTTTTTTGACCAGACACATCCAGTATCGAGTACAATCTATGTTCGAAATTTGGTGGAAATACGCCTTATGGTTCTCGAGTAGTTCGCGAACACACACACACAAACACATATATATAGATAATAAATAATTATATATGAAAATATCACCATATATACAATAATATATATATTCACCTACAACACACAACAAAGTACGAGTTCCCACTAAAAACGGCAGTTGTCTATAATCTACAACAAACACAGGGACATTTAAGAAATAACGGAAGGTCCTCGGAAACTGAAACTACTCACTCAATACATCACCAACAATAAAACTTAAAAACACAAACCAAAAATAAAATAATGCCTCTTAAGTTGATGTTATATTTTTCATTAAATAAATGTTCAATGATCTTTTGTTCAACGTTTTTCTCATAATGCAGAAAACAAATCTCTACCGCACTATCTAATGTATCAAATCTACAATGTGGCACTAATCCTGAATATAATTAAAATCTGTATAACCTAATTTATAAAACTTTATTTAAAATATCAAAAATTAGAACCGAAATATATCAAATAAACAAACAAATAAATGATATATAACTAATGTAATTTTAAGTAATGAATTTATTTTAAAGTAATAATAAAAATAAGCTAAAAAATAACCTAAATCATAAACAAAACAGCTGAGGAGGGCCGGTTTCTTCTTTCCCCATCAATGAAATTAATAACTGATTTAAAACAACACACAAAAAAAAATGGAGGGTTTATTAAAATTCAAATTGATTTTTTTTAAATTTTTTGTTTACTTTTTCCGGGCTTAGTAAATATTTATTACAAAGGAATCTCCGGTTCCGGTCTTCATAAATATGTGATTGCGGACTTATTCCAATTCTTTAAAAGAAAAGTTGATTTTTACTTTTTAGAATTTTTTTATCAAAATGTATGTAAATTATAAAAAAAAAAAAAGATGTACACCATGATAAAATATGAGGGTATATAATGTTTCTTTTGTAAACCATAAAAATTTCAAACAGATGTTTTATCTCTCTCTTTTTTTATTTTTGGTTCTTCATCTTTGGCATTGTTTGCGATTTGAAAACAGAAATGATTTGATTCTACTCAATGTCCAGAAATAAATTAGTAACTTGATTTATTAACTATAATTAGGAAATTTTACACGCCGCTAAACTATTTGTTCATTAGATTGTTTATTTACCTTGCTTTTTTATATTTGCATTGCATTCTAAAAATAGGGGTAATTAAGCTTGGTTAAATACATTGTTAAATATTTACTACAATATTTAAAAACTAAACATGAAAAAAATTTTCATAAATTTATACACATTTGACATAAATTATGAAGATGTTTAACCAATAAAGAGTTTCTTGTGGTTTGATATTTTAAAAGATGAAATCAATTGGCAATTAGACCTTTCTTTGCTAACCATTCAATAAAAAATCTAAAGTGCTTATTATTTTTTTTGTTGTTGATTTTCAAGAACAAAGAAAATGTTATAAATTGAAATGGCATGTTTGGATACTTAGATTTTATGCAATTCTCTTGTTTTTTCTTTGGAAAGGAATAACAATTCCAAGGAATGAAGGTAGTTAAAATAATTATCTTCCTTCTCAAGGGAAAAACTGTCCTTTTGACATTAAAAAAACGAAAATGTTTTGTGGTCCTGTACTACCGGAGAAAAAGAGGTAACTGAGTTTTCCGGTTCTACCCACCTCCATCCCCTGCAGTTCCCACGGATACTTTTGTCCATGATAATCTTAACTTAAAGTCTAGGGTTAGGCCTCATATTTTTATCTTCAGGCCTATGTCTCTTAGCAAAAGCATCCTCCATCAGTAACCTTCTATCTTGAGTTGTTATATGTCTTTGCTATGTCGTTAAACATTAACAAAAAAATAAAAATTACATTATGTACTGTGACGGGATACTAGTATGATGTTTGGAGATTAATTAGTCACCTTTCTCGTTGGGAGCATTCACCACTTTGGTACCTAGGATGCTGAGACATTTTATATTAAATATTAGTGGGCTCCTGGAACATTCATCAACCAAACAATAACCACATGTCTACATTGAGTTCTACATGCAAGGGTTTAAAAAAGAGCTAAAAATGGGAAAGAGCAGGGGTTTTAATAAGTTTAATGAGCTCCCCTTTGGGCAATTTGGCAAAAGCCAAGTGTCAGGGATAAACCAAACTATAATACATGGTTAACATGGTAAAGATTTGATTATCTCCACTTTAGAAATTCGTTTTAATGACAATAATGGCTAGGAAAATAATGTTGGACATTAAATTACTGTAATCAGTTTATATCCATTGCAAGGAGAAGAAAATGGCGTTCGAAAAGCAAAACTGTTTAGGGAAAATGCTTATTGACATGGAATAAAACACACCTGATTTTTCAACTATTCTGAAATTAATTGCTTTATCTTGTGAAAAGAAGGAAAAAAAAATTCCTGTTATTTTGTTTATTTTTGATCCTTAAGCTTTTTGTGGTGCGTCTCTTATATTTTTTGTTTTTTTTTTTTGTAAATTAAAAATCTATTTTATCTTTGAAAAATTTATCAAACTCTAAGACGTGTTTAAAATAGAACAAAATCTTTAAAATGTACACAGCCATATAAGCTGTTGCACGATTTTTTGTACATTTCATCTCTAATTAAATTGTTAATAATCTTTTAACATTGTCACTTTCTTCAGATTGACATGTCAGTAACCAAATCAATTCAACTGGATTGTTCTAAACTAAAAGTATAAAAACTTTTGGTGATAAATTTGGATGAATAAAATGAATCTTAAATAGCCAGGATTACCAGTATTTGAATTCTGAGATAAAAACAGATGTAATTATTTTGGAGATCAGCACAATTTCTAATACTTTTTGTGACATGACATCATCACAAAATAAGATATATATACACCCACATGAACAATGATGAATTTAAACAAAAACAAAAAAAAAATAATTCAAGATGATTATTTTAACTATTCAGACTGTTGTCTTCATCTTTATTCATAACATTTCGGTCGTTGTACGCCCCAGCCTTCTTCAGGTGTTATTTGTTGGAATTTCGAACCGAATCCTTTATTTAATCCACATAGGTAGATTGTTCTAATTCCACGTGCCATGCATTTGGATATCTTAGTTTTAGTTGATAACTCTCCAAGTTTTGTTCTCTCTGCTGACTACAGGGATTGAACTTCATAATTCTTTGGGTCAAATCACGTTTTGGATCAATCAACGAACGCTTTTATTCACGGGGTCCTTGGGTTAAGTAAATTTTTGGGTTTTATAAACCTAATGTCTCAGTAATAATTTTTTACCAGAGTTCATATTACATTTTTGCACCTCAAAGGATTTTTTACTTGCATATAGAAATGTAATTTCGTTTGTGAATATGAAAAAAATGGTATTTATTGACATTTCGCAACGGTTAATAATTTTTTTTCAAAAAATCTTTGAGTTTTCAGCGTTCTTTCATGAGTTTTACCTGTTTTTAACTGGTCTCCACTTTTCTTTTTGTCCTGCCTCATAATGCTACTTCTTTTCAGGGAACGAATTTAAGGACGTATAAAACGGTCCAAATTTTTGTACAGTAAATGCAGATGTTTTATTAATATATTTTTCATTGAAAATACTGAAACTGATTATTTTTAACGTGAGTTTAATCTTTATTAATTTTCTACAGTGATAGAAATTGAAAAATATGATAACAAAAAATTCGAAAAGATAAGAGATTCTGTAAATGTTTTTATAAAATTTAAATATAAAATGATTTTGATGTATGTGTCAACGTGTAAATATATATATATATATATATATATATATATATATATATATATATTTATGTCTATGTACTCAAATATATGCCGCTCATTTACATTCCATCTCATTTCACAAATCATCTTAGAATCTTTTACACGTATTTGCGTTATATCAATAAGTATATGCGCGTATATGTGTACATACGCATACATATATGTATATATATAGTGTGTGTGTGTGTATGTATATATGTTTGTACTCACAGATGTCAGTGTGAATACTTATTTACACATCCACACACATGCAAACACACACACACACATTTCTGTTGAAAGATCTCTACTTTTCAATTATCTGCATCATGAAATGACTGTATGCGCTAGCAGATGTTGTGCCAACATGAAGTTAAATATGAGGAAGTACTGAAAAGTTCTCAGCTCGACCCATTTTTCAAAACGTTATTGTTTGTTATTGAAATACAGATGTTGGAAATCGGGTTGGTTAGAAAACGTTTCAGCACACTCTAGTTCATAAACACATTTAAATACAAACATGTTCGCATGAACGTGTATGATTTATATGATCAAATTATGGGAAATAAAATTTAAAAATTGTTAATACTGCAACCGTTCTCCAAAAATATGTGCGTAGATATACATTGATTGTTAATCATATTTTCTTTTTTTCTTAAAGTTATTTCGGATTGAACAGCGTGTCGAATCACCACTCCCACCTTTTCTTAAACAACCCCGGTTATGCCTGCTGGTAGAGAAAGGTCACGACTCTTGTGTGCTAAAAATAGCAACGACATCCTTTCAAACTGACAGAAACACACAAAACTCAATTTTCGCCACTAAACAAAAATAAAAGACCTCTAATTTTGAACCGAAATTAATTTAAATACAGTCAACAAACACCAAACACACTTTTTGACTGTAATTTATACGGCCCGAAATTAATTATATTCATTTACTTGTTTAGCGTCACCGCTTCTCTTGTATGAACCGTCATATCTAGATCCCCGAGACTTCACAGCAGTTTTTACAGGGAGCCTTCCTGAATCGTGACTTTGATGCGCCCAGTCAAGTCGACCGAGCCCAGCAGCTGACAGGACCCAGCATCAGCAGAAGCAGTTGTTCAAACAGTCCTTTTCAAGGCTAACTTCTGAAAGTCATTTGATCACCACTCTTCGAGGCTCCACTCACTTCACTCTCTGCTACTGCCTTCCCTCTGAGACGCCAGCTCACTCCTGCAGCTTTCAGCTCACTCCTGCAGCTTTCAGCTCACTCCTGCAGCTCATTACAGTCTCCAGTTCACTCCTGCAGCTTCCCGCAGTTTCCAGCTCACCCCTGCAGCTTCCAGCAATCTCCAGTTCACTCCTGCAGCGCTTCACTGACGTCCAGCGACCAGTTCCAACCTCCGGATACCGTTCCCGAACAAACGACTTCTGTCGTCTTTCCACCCACTGTTCGCAAATAAAGACACGATTTCTATCTTCTACAACGGACCATCTGCGTTTGTCATCCTTCTTTGCTATTGCCATCTCCTTGCCTTTGTGTCCTCTTTTTAGTTGTACGGTCGATTGGCACTCACACCTCTCGGCCCGCTGCAACAAGCGCTCTGTTTGTAATTATAAACTTCTATATTCATCTAGTCACACTAATAAATACATTATAAAGATTACAGTGTTGATTACACACATATTTATTCTATGTAACATTTGTTTTTGTTGCTCCTTTTCATCTTAATATTAAATATTATTTTATTCTTTGTAAATTCAATTCGGTGATGAATATTACTAACATGGATCTAAGTGAAAATTTAATATCAAGATTCGACTAAAAAAATTATGTGTCAAGATGCTAGTTTATTGATATGTTCTCGTACATTCTAATATATATTCACAAACACGGAAACACACACATGCAAATTTTCTATATTTATGGGAGAAGAATATTAGCGATAGAGCGTTAGCATATAGATACAATATTGTCTCACCAGAGTACAACAGCTGTACAATGTTTTATTTTTCCCTTGTTTATCCCCTTTTAATTTAGATACATTTTAGATTGCCACCGTTTTTATCACTTCCTGTTGAACCCGTTGTAATTACTGAAACCGGCACAATAAAGCACACAGTTCCGGCTTTCTTATCCTCCTAAATTTACTCCCACCCCGCCAACACGCCGGTATGTAACCTTTTTCTCCCTGCATTAGTCTCCTTTAAAATCGTATTGTTATTTCAACATTTGTTTAAGGTAGCCACTTTGTATACATTTATTTTTACTGCTGTACTTCCTCATGTAGAACCCCTTTCACCACGTGTTGACTGTTCTCACCCTGTGTGATACTGATACTGTGATCTTTTCTATAGATTTATCACTGCAAAAAATAAATCTGTAAACAAACAAATTGCTACTTACTTTACCCTCAGTTTTAAGCCTTCGCCTTCCTTTGCTATATATCTATTTTCCCTTCCATTTTACCTTTTTTTACTTATTTTGTTATTCGGACTAATCTAGTCACAAGTTATTTTTTTCTAGTTTCACCCTTTTAACTTCCAATAAACCTGCTGATGAACAGGACTTTGTCTTCAAAGTTTTGTTTATCTGGCTGTTTGATGTACGCACGTGCGAGATACGGACGCGTATTGGGAAGCAGTACAGACAGTGTGTATTTTCAGAAGATCTCTCTCTCACTCATATATACATATATATATATATATATATATATATATATATATATATATATATATATATATATAAATATATATATATATATATATATATATATGAAGAAAATATCTAAAAAACATTTGCTAACATATATATATATATATATATATATATATATATATATATATATATATATGTTTTATCAACAAATGAAAGTTTACGTTGGGGTCTGCTAGCCCGACGTATAGAGTAGATTTTCTAAAGAGCCGCATTGTAAATATATACCAAGTATGTCAATTCAAAGTAGTTTATGTCTTCATATGATGCCATGAGTTCATATTCTGTAAATACATAAAAATGTGTATTTATGCGCGCACAAGCGATTGTCCGTGTGCTTTTGAAAAAAACATGTACGTAGTGATTTTTAACTCTAAAAATTCAAAAATGAAATTCGTATATGTAAAAATTATTTCATAAAACATGCTTATTTTTATCTATAAAATTTAAAACAATTGACATCTCAGAAGATAAGAATCAATGTCTTCCAATTCATTTTAAATTTTATTGTTATTATTTTCAATATAATAATACTTGACCGTCTTCAGCAGTCAGAGTGTAAAATAGATGCCTCATATACTTTAATTTCATACAGGAAAAACAGTTTTAAACTTTGATTCGATATCGTTTACACACACACACACGCGCGCGCACGCACACACACACACGTGTGTGTTTGTGTGTGTAAAACTATATCGAATCAAAGTTTAAAACTGTTTTTCCTGTATAAAATTGAAGTATTTTAGTAATTTTCAAACTTTACTAATTATCATATATATTGTGTAAAGATTTCAAAGGCATGCCAAAAGGCCTTGGAAAGGAGCGTATTTGCTCCTTTGCGTCAAAACGGAAACTTCCAAGAAAGAAAAAAAAAACAATGAAGGAAAATAAAATCTAAAATAAGATTAATAAAAATATGTGAATGTAGAAAACAGATCCTGGAGTATAAAAAGAGAATTTTCATCTAATTGCTGTTGTTTTTGTTAACAATATTCAAAAGTCTTTGCATTTTTGTATCTCCTGAAAACAGATAAAAATACGAGTATTTGCATTCTAAAACACTGGCTCGTCTGCACACATCTACGTCAGATGATTCGTTTTCCAAGAGAGAGAAGCAAAAGATTAATCAACAATTGAAATTACATGCCAGCTTCTCTAAATCAATCAATTCTTGTAGTTCTGTTTCTTCAGTAAACTATAATGATAGTTACTAAAATCTATGAAAATTGAAATTAGGCACATGCCCATTTTTTACGAACAGTTGAAATAATAAAACCGTTTACATTAAAAACGCAAAAATCAATTTACATACAAAATCTTTATAAAATGAAAATAAATTCAAGTTTTAAATTTTATAATTACTAGAAATTTATTAACTGTTCCTATGACTACCAATGTTGCTACAGTCTTACAATTGATGAATTATGCAATAACTCGATGTAATATGGCTACGAGTCTAATATGTTGGTTTAACTGATCCTCAAAGTAGATCCGCAGAGTAGATGTGGCTTTTTGTCTTGCTTTTTATTTAAACTCTATAATACTAAAGAAAATCAAGTGATACCTGTGTTTAATGTGTGGACAGACTTATATATTTCATATAACAAAAGTTAGAACCCTTTACTATATTAACAATTTATTTATTTCTTCATTTACTTAAAATTTTTCTCTGCATACACTTTTATCCATAATGGAAAAGCTTTGATTTTTAAAACAAACATTACCGACCAATTTCAAATTTGATTAAATCGTACAGTAACAAATTTAAAATAAGTTGACGTCAAAATTTAACGTCTTTTTAGAAAAACTTCTTTATAAAAAAAAGTTCAATTTAACTATATTGTAATGAGTTGGGAAAATAAGTTTTGAACATTTTATTTGCTTATTATTTTAATGCTATTAACACTGCTAATTTTTCTCCATTTCGACGAAGACTGCTTGCCTTAAAAACGTTATCCCTGGTCAACTGTTTTTGCTTGTTTTCTGTTTATTGTTTTTTTTTTTAATGTTTTTTTCTGCTATTATATATTTCTTTATATAGTTTAGTTCAGAAGAATCTGTTTTTCAGAAAACCTCTAAGTGTATCTATCTGCACATATATTATATAGGCTACATATTCTCACTATTTACATATGTATATATATTTTAGAATATCTACTTCATGAGTCACAAATCATACACTCTTCTCAATCTAAAAATCAATCGTTCTTTTAGTTGTTTCACACTACAAATTGCTTTTTATCTTTTTTCAAGAAGTTGTTTCAAAATTATTTTTTTTAAAATGCTTAATTAATTTAAACAATATTTTATCTTGCGCAAAACCCTTTTTCTTCTTTCTTTTTCCCAACATCTATCAGATTATACAATATTAAATTCATGTAGCATTTAAATATAACGAATTATTTTCAGTGGTATATGCGAATATAAAGCTGACACTCGCTCAAAGAGGGACCCTCTCTGGAGTTCAATAATTACACATGGTTATTGTCGTTAATGTCCGAGACAGGAGAGCCAGTAGAAGCTATTTTATGACCAATCCTAAATTTTGACGATATCGGCGAACTTGATCTGAGACTTGATTCCGAACTTGATCGAAACGTAGAAACTGAACTACAGGTCGTTTCGCTGTGTGCAACCGACTTCTTTCTTCGGGACATGATCTTATCCATGTCCAATGGTTGAAAATCTTTCATATCAGTAACCTTATACTGAGTTCCAGTCACTTCTTTTTCCATTGCCACACACTGGTCTGATGCTCCAGTGCTCCAAACGAATGGAGCCCCGGGCAGTTGCCACTTATGTGGCATTCCATAAATTGAATTTTTTTTCTCTGATTGAATGATCGGGGTACTTAATTGCTCTCGTGACGAGTTTTCGACGTTACCAGCACTTTCATCATCAAACATGGTTTCTGTGTCTTCACAACACTGTGAAACAGGATTGGAGTTCTTCCCGCTTTTCATCGACAGTCCATCTAGTTCTTTGACTGTTGCATTTGACCTTACTAAACCTGGCGCTTCGATTAACGGTGGCAAAATAATATTTGGGTTTGATTCTATATTCTTTACTGTTTTTGTTGATGTCGTCGGGGACTGTTTTATTAAATTCTCTGTTGGTTTAAGAGCTAAATTACTATCAACATTGGCATTTTTATTGTTATCCCCTGTTGGTCCATTCTTTTTATCAATATCAATATCTTCCATCCAGGCAGCACTTTCAAGGGTTGAAAAGATGCCATCATTTTTCTTCTCAGCAGCTGGTACAAAGTTACCCATTATGTCTTTCACGTACATCTTCTTTTTCTTTTCACGTAATCTGAACGGTCCTCGTTTACCCTTATTCGCGTATTCTCTATATTGGGCAATAACTTCTTTGCCATAAGTCTGAAAAAAAAGGAAAGATATATCTTTTTAAGCACAATTTTCTACGAACAACGATTATCTGCATTTTGCTTTCGTTGGCCCACTTCTCTATTATTTTTATAGCGGATTGTAATGACCTTTATATCATGGCGAACGGAAGTAGAATGACAAAAATAGTTTTCTTATTCGTATGGGATTAAAGTAGTATCTCTTGACAGCACTCTAAAATTAAAGCCAAATTCCAATTATTCGTTATTGAACTAATCAAAGAGGTTGCTGAGATTCTTTAAAATCATTATATTCAAACTTATTTCTCTTCTAGAAATCACAGGCATCTGCCATGCAAGTACACACACACACACACACACACACACACACACACACACACCACAGCAATGAAAACAAGAACTCAAAGTGGCTGTTCATTCAATTCGTCGTCCTCAATGCACAATTTACGGAGAACTGCTTTGAATTTAAAGCGATTTCTTAACAATCACTCATTAATAATCTCATTTTTCATGCTTTACGTCAAAATAGCGAATGTTAAACCACATTTAAATGCTAACTAATCCCCTGAGAATTACAAGTGCATAAATCCTATCAATAAACAAGCAATATAAACTCAAATATTGATACAATTTAAATTTTATCACTTCTTTTTTTATTTAACCTTTTGTTTTACAAACTAAAAAATATAAATGGTAGAAAAGCAAACATGAAACCACAGAGAAGATTTTAAAATTGTCAGCCTCTGATATGAAAGATAAACTTATTTTTCAACAAATACAATAAAAATAACGTTTAAATGAACTTTTTCTGTTATAACAGAAAAGAAATCCGTGAAATATTAGAAACTGTTTAAGATATGAAAAACGAAGAATACAAATAAATTATTAATGTCTTAGAAAAAACATTGTCAGTATTAGTAATTTTTGACATGATCTTTCTCATAATTTCTGTTGCTATTTAGCGCAGTAATCTGGAGTAGCATGGATTGGCAATAAAGAATAAGCACCCGGTGATACTTGAAATCGCATCCTTATTTCTTACCTTGACAATTATTGATTTGGTCAATTTGGCTTTATCGAAACGCGTTGCTCAAATCAGTCACTTTACAATATATAGGCTATTTCTGGATATTGTTTGACGTTGTTGTTTTTTTTTGTTTTTATATAGACTAGTAGCATTAGGTAAGATAATCAACAACTTACTTTGTTGAAACAATTTAATTATTTTTTTACTAGTTTCCGTTCATTTTATTTTTTGTTGTATCTCTTAGATCGTTATTCTGTTATCGTTAAATAAGAAAGGATTTCATGGATAAGAAATGCGAGTTCAAATCTCACTGGAAATTTATTCTTTATTTCTTGTGCAAAGTCGTGGAATAACGATGCGATGAATAGAAATAAAACTAGTATTTGTTTCGTTTTATTTCTATTCATCGCAATAATATTAAATATTTGACTGTTCGTGATACGAAAAAACTGCAGAACACCATAGAATTTCTGAATTTGTACATTAAATTAGTCATTTACCTTCCAGTTGGACAAAGCTCCTTTGCGCTGTTTGGCCCGAGTTTTACTGGAAGCCTTTATGACCATCAAACCCCGGGGTGGACGCCCAACATCACATTTTTCTCCACTTTTAGTAATCGGAATGGAAAATTCTTCCTGAAACTCTCGCAACCTCTTTGCCGAATAGCTTCTCTCAAGAACAGAAATAGTCTTCGCCCACTGAAAATAGGAAAGAAATATGTTTGTAGGAAAAATAGAAAATAATGGACCAAAGTTGTCCCAGTATGTTAGCAGGTAAAACAAGAATCATATGAGCTCAGTTTCAATTTTTATACGAAAATTATTACCAATAATGATCAATTATTTCTCTAGACAATTGGAAGGGTAATTCTTTGAAGGGTTAAAAATTGTGATTTTTTTTGGTTTTACAAAAGGATATCAACTTTAACCTAATAAATAAATATTTAGTACAAACGTTGGGAATCGGGTGATGATTACACTCACTACACACATATGGATTTTAATAATTAAAGATTATAAAAGCATAATAATATAACAAAAATTATAATATAAAGAGAAATTTAAGAATAAGTAAATAATAAAAATTAAAACGCCCTTTTAAAATACGATATCATTTTCTTCGAGCGATGAAAAAACACGTGCGTTCACTCCTACATCAGCTTCTAAGAAATTAATATATATATAATTAGGATAAGTAAAAGTTTGTAACTTAGTTGATCGATGTTACCTTCAGCATCCCCACTCTAGTATTTCGTAGACGAACCTATCCGTCCACTCTTCAGAGTGTATCAGCAACTGACTGCTTATATACCTTGATTTTTCTTTTTTATACACTTATCATTATTGTAAGTTATTTTTTCGTATTGTTTGTGTTTCGTATGTGCATTTGCGCACATGCAGCCATGCACCTGTCTGTGCGGAAGTGTGCCCATGTAGGGTGTCGTGATTATTTGTTGTTTACACTCACTCCTTAGCTTTTACTTTTCTTTCAACTGTAACTATTTGTAGCTATTTATTTCCGTTTTTTTTTCTCTATACATGTTATCGTTTTTAATTTTTGACCGTACTAGACTTTATTTGAGTTAGGAAAGTTTTATTTTGTTTTTTCATAAATAACTAATACTTAAATGACAAATATTTTTATGTCTTCACTTGGCTATATTTTGTTTTCTTATTTGGTTTCATGGTATCTTAAGTATTAATTGTAGGAGGTTAAGTTTATAATTAATTTTTTATTTATGTTTGAATTTATGCGCATACGCCTGTATTTATACGCTTGTGCTTACACGCACATACATGCATATACGTATATATATATCACACACGTGCACATATATACACATAAAACGTGTGTACACAAGATTGCTTCATTTGTATATGTATATGTGTATATATAGATATATTTTGTGTCTGTGTTTTGTTATTAATATTTATTTTCTATTTTGAGGTTATTAATTATGGTTGGTTGGGTTTGGTTTGATTTGGTTTGTTGTGTTTTACGGCATATCAACCTCAATGGGTTATTTAATGCCGACACCATTTTTTTTCCTGGTAATATTTTGTTTTGTCAAAAATCTATTTCTGGTAATATTTTTTTTCCTCAAAAATGTACAGCCGGTAATTTAAAGCATGTATTGCTGGTAATATTTTTTTTCAAAAACGTATTGCTGCTAATATTTTTTCAAAAATGTATTGCTGGTAATAGTTTTTCTTCAAAAATATACTGCTGGTAATAGTTTTTTTTTTTAAAAATATATTACTGGTAATAGTTTTTTTTCTTCAAAAACTTATTTCTTGTAATAATTTGTACAAAGTATTTCTGGTATTAAAACCTATATTTAAACTCAGTTTTGGGGTTAGCTATTTTGCCCATAGCTGGGACCCTAACAGGTGCTACCGCCCCGGGTCAGGATGGACCTGAAGACACCAGCAATTAAGAGGTGGTTCCACGCTCCTCAAAACCTCCTGATCAGAGGCCTTGCTGTTGGACGTAGTTTATCGTCTTACCCAGGACGGGGATGTAGTTTATCGTCATACCCAGGACGGTTGGTTGGGTTTATAGAGTTTTTTCTTTGCTATTTGAATATACAAAGTATAAACTTCCGTACACTCACGCACGCCGCACGCATGAATATATATGTCATTTTTAAATAGCCTATATGTAGTAAATTAAATATTTGCATATCATATGTTATCGTTTATCTAATATTTCATTTTAATTTAATTTTTAGTAGTTTATTTGTTTTTGTCTTCATGCATTGAGGTATTAATTGGGTGGGTAGGTTTGATTGTTTGTAGTTGTTTGAGTGTATGTGTATTTTATATATTTTGATGTGCACGCACACACACACACACACACACACACATACACACACAGGGTCACAAACTCACATTGTAATCCATTACATTACGTGCTAATACCCTTGGGAAGTTATTAATCCTATTCTTGTATCCAGCTATGGGTAAATAGCAGGACAGGCTGGGTTCTAAACTGGTCTAGGAGAAGAACAACTCTGTCTTCTGCTGGTTTTGCACAAAGAATAATAATCAATCACATGTGCTGGCGTCTGGGCTGTTGGTTCCTAGGAACTGAATACGAGGCCACCATTTGTATCCTCACAGATATGGATGGCATTGCCAAAAGATGGAAGAAACACTTTAATGGGCTACTGAACAGACCTTCAAATGTGGACCCTGAAGTTCTCAAGAACATACCCCAAATAACTTGGCAACCAACCATCGCCGAGTGAAGTTCTGCATGGCATGGAGGGCTGCTGAGATCTTTCGTTACAGTGGAAGACATTTAAGTCAACTTATGCATGTAAAGATTTGGATAGTGCCAAAAGATCGGAGGGATGCACCAATGATATCTACATATAAGGGGAAAGGTTCCCGGGAATTATAGAGGTACTGCACTCCTTTCTTCGCCAGGTAAGATCTTAGCCTCTGCTTTCCTGTTAAGATTAATACAAAGCATAGTTGACAACATACTGCCTGAGTCACAGTGTAGTTTCCGCCAACACAGAATGACCGCAGATATGATTTTCACAGCACGACAAATCCAGGAAAAGAGCTGTGAACAACAATTGGATCTTTATCAAATATTTGTAGATCAGAAGAAGGCTTTTGACACTGTTAATTGTGCTGGTCTCTAGAAGGTCCTCTCAAAATTGGGCTGTCTCCCACCACTTTCTCAAGATTCTGAGGTCCTTCAAATGACGGTATGGAAACCTCCGTCAGTTTTGACGGTATCCTTACTGGGCCCATCAAGGTTGAAAATGGAATCAAGCTGAGAGATCTTCTGGCTCCTATACTGTTTTCTATCTATTTTGCAATTGTACTGCTTGATGCATTCGGGGACTGCCATGGTGGTATTATGGTAAGGTACAGGTCAACTGGCAAGCCTTTTAAGTTTACAGCAAAGACAAAGTCTTTTTTAGTTTAGTGCGCAACCTTCTCTATGCCGATGATTTGACCTGGTCGCACACACAATTCAACACGCACAAGAATTCATGGATCGACTATCAGGGTCATGTAAAGTTTTTGGACTGTCCATCAGCCTTGCCAATGGCTTCTGTTATCAGTTATAGGCATTTAAGAATATTTGTGGAAATTTCATAGTTTATTTTGTTCAGGTTAGGTTTCAACTGTTTTATGTATATAGCTTCAAGTATTTTTATTGTGTTCATATTTAACATGATTTGTGTTTCATGTATTGTGTTCATACTGTGTTCATAGTTGATGAGGATTTTCCGGAATGTGTATGCGGCCAGGCATAAAATAAAATATGAAATCTCCACAAATATTCTTAAATGCCTATAATTGATAACAGAAGCCATTGGTTTATACCAATGGCTTCCCATACTTAATACTTCAGTGCGATTTTTGTTTCAAGCGTCTCATATGCACGAATTTGTCGTTGCTTGGAAATCTTCCATGTAAACAAAAACAGACTGTCATTATTGTTTTGTCCGTGTATTGTAATGTAATTTTCATCTTTGATAATGGCTTATGTAAGCCGAAAGCTTAGATAGGATGAAAAATATGTATCAATATTGTGATTTTCTTTCTTCTTTTAATAATGGCGATTAAGCTAATCAGACGATATAAAAAGAATTTACATAAAATAAATAGACAAAACTTGTCTATATTATTTAATGAAACATGCATCAATAACAAAATGCTGCCTAAATACACACAATATATATGTATGAATATATGTATATATAATGTATATATATATAATATATATATATATATATATATATATATATATAATATATGTATGTATATATATGCATATATATATATATATATATATATATGCACATATATATGTATGCATATATATATGTATATATGTATATATATGTATATGCATATATGTATGTATTTATTTTTTATTATTAGTATTGTTACCGGTTCTTCCTTATTAGTTTTTTTTTATTACGGATTAGTTTAATTTTACCCATCTATTTTTTATATGTATAAATGTATGTAGGTATATGTATATAAATGTGTGTAGGTATATGTTTTTATATATGTATATGTATTTACACAAATATATATATGTGTGTGTGTGTGTGTGCATTTGTATATATAAGTTTGTATGCATATGTGTGTATATGGTTATATGTATATGTGTGCACATATGTGTATGTCTGTGTATGTCTGTGTTTGCATGTGTATATGTATGTGTATATATTTGTATATGTACATATATATATGTATGCATAATATGTAGGTGTGTATTTGTGTAAATATGTAGGTGTGTATTTGTGTATATGGTTATGTGTGTATGTGGTAATAAATAGTAAGTTCTTTTCTGGATTAAATATTTTATATCTTTACGTGAAATTTGTAATCTGTAGGGGAAAATTCCATGCTCTTGCAAATTGTTCTTGATTACACATCATTTCTCTTATAAAGGCCCCTGTTTTAATTTGGCCTTTTCTTTTTCCTTGGGTCATTTCTTCCTATCTCTCATCTTCTCTTTTCATGTATACATAAGATGCAAACCAGACGACAAATTTTCATATATACATCGGCAGTATTTTACATTTGAATCATATAATCATTTATTGTGTCTAATGTCACCACAAATGTATTCACACTTTTCCGGTGTCTGTTTTTCAGTTTTAGGTCGACAAATCGGTAGTGATTTATTTATCTGTATCTCACTCAATTAAACCCTTATTTAACTTCTCTCTTTCAAATTTTATTCCCCACCCTCACTTTAAAGCCTCTCCTGTTCTTCTTTCTTCCATTACACCCCCTCTCTAGAACTTTCATACATTTCCCTCTCACCCTTGTTTCTCACTCCCACACATACACTCTCACTGAAATTTTGTTTTTATACCCGGAGTTATGTTTTCTGTTTCCTTTTGAATTTGTAGGTCTTATGAATTGGAACGTGATTACAATTAACTATGGAATATTAGAGTTTGAGCCTTTTATATTATATTATATTATATTATATTATATTACATTATATATATATATATATATATATATATATATATATATATATATATATATATATATATATGTTTTGTGTGTGTATAATTAGAAATAAGAATAAGCAGCTCCCAAAAAGAGTCTGATTACACACACGTGAGACTTATATGCCAGTTGATGAAATAAATGTTTTCAGTCAAAAACAAAAGATTACATGATATTACAGACAAATGAATTTCCATTATTTCCAAATTTGTATTCAGTGCTGTTCAAAAAGAAAAAAAAGTAAAACGGAAAATAAATCTATATACTTGTTTTTTCCATTCGATCTCTGCTTTGTCGATAACTGATTGGTATGTATTACCCATCATGGCAATCAACATGTTGAGTAAGAGGATTGGTGTCAATAACATAAATACAATGAAAAGAAACTTGGTCAGATCTGGATAATGAGCGTAATTCATGATGCTATACTGAAATGAAAATAGAAACAAAGAAAAATTAAATATAATAATATCAGTATTTCATTTGACAGTTTATAAATTAAATACTTTTGGCTTCATTTTATTCATCCATCCACCTTATAGACATTAATATACAATTTATTTCATTGTATAGGTTGCTTAAGTTTTTATACATGCGTATATATGTGCACGCGCGTTCGTATATATATATATATATATATATATATATATATATACTTGAAGTTTTCAAAACTGACATATATACATGTGTGTGTATGTGCTTGCGTGTGCGTGTACCTCCAAAGAAACGCGATACCTAAGGTTTAAAATGAATAAAAATAAAAAATCTTGAAGCTTGAAGCTTTTATTTTAGTTTAAATTTCAGACTAATAGATTAAATTTAATATTTACAATAAGCAAACTACTTTGCGGTATTTTAAAACTAATTTAAATTTACTGACATAAGAAATTAGGTTATCTTCCCTGCTGCTATTGGAAGATTCTGTTATCTACTTTTAATGGTATAACCCAGTTTTTGTGCCAAATAAGATTTAGTGCATAATCACGAACGCTACGTTCAGTGCAGCCTGAGATATCGAAGGAGACAGACGTCTTTAGCTGCCTCCGGGAACGGTGCCTAAACCAGGGAAGATATGTGTCTAAACCGTCCAAATGGCTCTCGCGGCAAACAATTTTGTTTGAATAACAGATAAGTATAACAAACTGTTTCTAACTGCAATGTATTAGAATTGACCCAATTGTTTGACATGGAAAATGCCTAATGGAATCACTCCTTTCTGAAATTGATTTTCTGTATAGACATCAAATAGTTATCACACTATAATTTTTAAATACTCTGCGTGTGCTGGATAGCAAGTGAAGTCCCCTTTGAAACCTACACCAACCCATGCAATGACATTTTCAGAAGCTTTGCAAGTATCGGAGGTCGAAAGGAACTTGGAAATATGTTTTCAGTGGAGTCCTTTGAAAAGTAAGAGCACATCAGACACAAAATTGACCTGTTCGAAAACCTATAGGATACTGAGACAATTCTTATTATGTCGAATTACTCTGGCATGAAGATGAGGAAGATTAGCCTCTAGTCAGACTAGAATGTATGTCTGCCTAATCAAACAATATGGTCTCGTCGTCTGTGTCGCAGTCGTCGTAGAGCTTCGTGTGGTCGTCAAACAACGACAAGAAGTCTGCCATCGGTAGCCAACAGCGTGTGTCCACAAAAGTTTTCTATAATAATTTGGAAGACTCAAAGATCTTTACTAGATTTCCAATTGGAAAAAACTGATAAAAGTTGGTGTTAAAATTAATTCAGAAATGCAGAAAAGGGAATCAAGTTGATCCCTGGCATCAAACAAAATTATGTTTGATAAGGATTATGCAAAAAGAAAGTTTTAGTGATGAAAATGAAATGTAATTCCTAAAAGACCCTTCAAAGGGCAAACATCTCCCTCTGATAAAGAAACAATATTTTCTTGGATAAAGATGGTATCCTGAGAGTGAATGGGGAGATAGGTAATTCTGATAGATTTGGATATGAAGTTCTTTACCCCATACTGTTGGTGAAACTTCCCCCTTACACAAAGTTCTTGATTAAAGTATATCACCAGCAACCAAAACATTTGGAAGTCGGTACCACCATAACCAAAATCAGAACAACGGATTTCTCGATCCCACAGGCTAGTCAGGCAATGAAGGCGGTGTTAATGCACCGTTGGTAAAAAGCATAACAGCTTGGCCTTCAAATATTCCAAATTGACCAACTTGCCTAAGCATCGTGTAAATCTGATTAATCAATATGAAAACACGGCTTTCGATTACACAGGTCACTTGTGGGTACGAAGAAATAAGAAAGCAAAAAAGGTATAGTTATTAATATTCACGTGCCTCGCTATTAGAAGCATACACATTGTGCAAGACATGGAAAGTAAATCATTCGTACAAGCATTAATTAGATTTTGTAATATCTATGAAGTACCTGCACATATCTGTAGTGACAATACCAGATCCTTTAACAACGCTTTTGGTGGAGATATAATAGAGCCCCATCTGGATAGTAATGAGTCCAAGGAAACCTTCAGGAACCATACTATAAACCACATAAAAAATTCCTTTATTTTCCCCATGGGAATGGATGAGAAGTGTGTGAGAAAAGATCATAAAGACAACAAAGTTTTGCCTTTTTTTAAAGAATGACTATTTCCAACTTCTCACTCTCATTTTGGACATACAAAGAGGTATAAAATCTAGACCCCTGACATATCAGAGTGCATCTGATAGTGAAGTGTTGCCGTTAACACTCAATGTATTTCTTCACCCCAATGTCAATGGTGAAATTTCAGTAAAGATTGATTCCGATGGTTCTTCTGATGTCCCACTTATTAGATGCTCTCTCAGAAAGAGAGAGTTTGTTAGCCAACCTGTGGCATGAGGAATACCTTTTAAGCCTAAGGGAAAGTTGCAATGATCTGTATGATATATATTTTAATAATAAGGTGTAAATTAATGACATAGTGTTAATTAAAAATCCTGCAAAAACCAGACCATTTTGGAAATTTGGCAGAGTAGATGAACTTTTCGATGGAAATGACAGAAATGTGTGTTCAGTACACATAGCCAAAGGTGATGCATCATTTAAGAACCATAATATACAGCATACAGATGTATCATTGACACATAATATTAAAAAGAATTCGAAACTGGAAACTAATAAAGAATTATAAAGCACTGATAGAACATCCGAAGATCTAAGCGGAAAATTAAGAAAAATTTCAACAAAGAATTTGTGTATTAAATTATTTGTCCTTGGTATGGCTTTAAATTACATTCATCTTCCTTGGTCATAGTCGACCAAATAGTCCTTCGTCATAATGTCTTGTCCTTAATAAGACATCAAACTGTTTACATGCAACTCAGCAAAGCTTATACCCGGCACTGTATTTATCATCTCAATTTGTTGGAACATTTTAATAAAGAAGTCATTAAGAGTATAATATAATGTTCTGGGTATGACTTTAAACTACACCCTATAACAATGCCATTCCTAAAATTCTGCAGTCCTGATTATGACTTTAAAATGCACTTTCTAATGGATCAAACTTGGCCTTGAAAAAATATTAAACTGTATCTACGGTAATGAAAATAATAATTAATAGTGAATAAAGAATTCACTTGAATTATGATGAAGTAATTATGATTGGATACAAGATTTACAAGTGTTAACATGCACGTAAGAATACTTCTTGAATGGGTACAAGATTTAAAACAATTTACATCAGCACACAAGTGTTAAATTGAAAAAATACTACATTTTTACAAAATGCAATGGATAACTTGAAATAATACGAAGTTTTACTGCTTATGTTGGAAAAGATCAACTAGTATTGTCAGCAACAAATAGTTTTCAGTTTACCAACATTCCATGTTAAAGATTCTATCTGGAATTCTTCAAAAAGTCCTGGTTAAGACTTTAAACTAAATCCAGTGACAAGGACCTGCTTACGGGACTTGGGGAGTGTTAATTGTCATTTCTTCCAAGTCCATTCTGATCTGTTAAGCTTGTCATTGATAAAACATTAAACTGTTTACATGCAATCCAATATGATATTAATAAGAATATAATAATGATGATGATAAAATAATATAATGGTGATATATAATTTTGTAGAATTTTTTGACAGCAATGTATTTGTCATCACTACTGAACTTTAAAGAAATGATGCAGCATGATGGATAAGCAACGCAAACAGGGCGTGGCCCAAATAATAATTTCAGATAAAAATTTAAAAAAATCTATAAAATAAGAGCCATCCAAAGTGCACTACATTTGAACATTTGATCTGCCTCATGATGACAGGTTATTATGGAAGAATTGTGGTTCATCAGAAGTTATCAATAAAGTATCCTTTTTATTCATGCACAAAACTCATAAAACATATGTAATACAATCGAAACATACAAATAAATACCAAAATGTAGTGTCATGAAAACAAATACAAATGGCAAATATAGTAATGTAATTATTTGGAATAGCTAAAACTTGTTACATTTGTCGTTTGATAAAATCTGGTTGTACTTACAGTACATAAACCAACAAAATAAATGCAAATACAAAAAAAAAACAAAACAATAGTCATGATAAGCGGCCATAATAATGCCGAACAACATAGTCTTGTTAAAATTTCTAAAAGCTTAATAGTCAAGCAAGTACTAACAATTGTGTTTGTATTACATATTTTCGGTATTGAATTTCTTTTCTTTTCTTTATTTCTTTGTTGTCTGTCAATTATTGTAATGCTTATTGTAAAATAAAGATTTTGAATTCATGTATAAATTTATGTAAAAAAAAAAAAAAAAAAAAAAGACCAGAAAGGACTGGTGTCATGGTCAAGTATTGTGTTGATGTAATGAAATATTACATATTAATAGTATTGCATATTTTTTCCGTGTGTGGGAGAGTATAAGAAATTAAGTTTTTCCCCCTTTGCTCCTGCTGCTATTGGAAGATGCTGTTATCTACTTTTAATGGTATAACCTAGTTTTCGCACCAAATCTCATTTGGCGCGTAATTATGAAAGCTAAGTTTAGCCTGAGATATTGAAGGAGACAGATGTCTTTAGCCGCCTCCGGGGAATAGCTCTAAAGAGAAGACTGCCCCCGAGACAGCCTCCTTTGTTTAAATGACAGAAAAGTGTAATAAACTGTTTCTAACTGAAATGTATTGGAACTTACCCAATTGGTTGACTATACCCGCTAAAAGCATGTTTTTTATCAACTATCTCAAGTCATGTTTTGATGTATATGCTATTCTTTAAACTATTCAATTGTTTCTTCTTTGTCATCTGCCCGACTTGATGTTGTTAAAAATCCCATACTGGAAGCCATCTTTCATCACAATGTAATTTCTTTATTGAAAAAATTCAAAAATAAAATATATTTTTCTTAAACTTTATTTGGGGAAGATTAATTGATTTAAAGTTTAATTAATCTGATTTGAAACAAATATTTCTTAATTTAAGTTTAAAATATCACGGAGATAAGTTTCATTTGAAGTATTGACATGTTGACAGATTGACTGACAGAAGTTTATCTAATTTTTTTCTACAATGAATATATATTTAAAAATTACTTGAGGAATATAACGTGCACACCTTCTTATATAATTTTTAACTACCCAGGAATCCCCAAAATTTCGCAAAATATCCTCAGTATTTCTCCATAAAATTTGAATTTTAGGTGCTTTGGCGTTAAATTTACTATAATTATCACTCTTATTTTCTGATAATGTCGTGTATGGACACCCGTATTTACAAAAATCGACACACAAAAAAAATCAAAATTCTTTTTAAAAATTGGGAGTCGCTGAAGTTAATGGAATGTTGGTAAAATAAGTATTTCCATTTATGTTTAATAAATTTAGTTTTTACTTAATATTAACTAACCGGTAATTATTATTAGTTTTGTGGTTAGTAGCCTGCGACAGTAGAGTCAGTTCGATTTAATGAGGGTAGGAAACATAAATCACTGTTTGTATGCACGAAAAAGTGTTTCAATACATATACAAAAGTGGTTTTTTAAAGGCCAAAAAATAGTTTTTTTAAGTCAACAGATTTCAACAAAAATGAGCATTGTTCGTTCTTTTTGCCGTAATATGTGTGTATTACGAAGTTGATGCCCTCAGTCCATAAGGTTTCAATGTCTTTCATTTTATGAACTTGGCAACGTATATTATATACAATGAAGTTATTATGTTTTAAAATAATGTAAGTAGCGTTATGCACACCGTAGGTAGGTAGGTACAATGAATTTGCAGATTGTAATACTAACGATCGAATGCATATAGAAATAATTTACGAATCGTAATACAGGTAGGTGTGTATAAATTTCTAGGTAGTAGTAGTTAGTATATTCTGGAGAAGTGTAGATAACATTATGCACACTGTTGGTAGGTATCAGGTGTTAGCAAAGTGATTTGGGAGAATTTTTATGCACATTGGAGAAATTAATTAAGGGACAATTCAACAATATCAATTCAACATATTTTGGAAGAATAGAGAGATATATATGCACATCGTAGGTAGGCATAAACAAGAACTTTTACATAGAAATTGGAAACCTGTAGAGAATAATAGTTTAGATCATTAATTTGGTTTGCATAGTGACTTACATTAAATTCTCCAAGAGTCATTTGAAAAAGGGTCATCATTGTTACAACCAGTGTTTTAAAACCGCCAATATCCTTGTCTCCAATGTCCCGAAACAGAAAATAAAATGCTGTCAGAAAAGGGAGAAGCAAAGAACAGGATTAGTTTTTACTCTTACAATTCCAGTGTCTATCAAGTCATAGACAAGAAGCATTAAAATACTGAAGATAAGTTATTTGCATCGATTTCTTCAAAGATAAAGAGCATTTTTCATAATTCAATATATTCTAGAAAATTTAAAAGAAAAATTGTAAAAGAAAAATTGTAAAAGAATTTAAACCCTGGTAAAAAAAAATTTGCTGTTATGCTGTTTCCTCCTATCCTGTACCGAAAAGAGTGACGCCTCTTGAATGACGTCACACCCTGGGGGAATAATAAAAGAGACAACAGTTTGCCATCTTGGTTCCAACTTACTAACACCTATTTTCTTTCTCTTCGCTTATTAAATGCTAAAACGTGGTGTCAGAGTAAGAGATTTGCAAGCATTTGTGAGCAAAAGGAAAGGAAAAACTAGCTTCAGCACCACAGGTCTTAAAGAAAAGACCCACCACCCATCTTAAATGCAAATGAAACCTACATGATCCGCAACTCTGCCCACTCCAAGTAACTGGAAAAATAAATGCGAACTGAACAACAGATATTCATCATTCGCAATCTCGTGAAAGTCTTGATAGGACAACCAGCCATTGAAGTCCTCAGACATCTGACCATTCACCCGAGCTTACGTACCATCAAAAGTATGGCCAGCATATAGTCATTTAACCCAAAGGAGATGCCAGATACAAACCTCGATATATTTGGAGAAAACAATATACGTTTGTGTGTAGATTCTAGGCCATATTCCATATCTACACCATGCCCAGAGAACTCCAGAGAAGAAATTGGGATTATAAGCAAAGTTGAAGAACCCACTAAATGGTACTCCACCATGTTAGAGGTACTAAAAGCTAAAGCCGGTGCGTAACACCCATCCCCACCTACGACCGAGGGTGGGAGGAGACTGATTGAGGGCCCCGGGCAGTGCTTAGTGACCCTCGCTATCTTATCAACATTTGTTTGCTTTTTTACCTATATTTATATACATTACAAATCAAACTAAGCACAATTGTATAACCTCCGATTTGTTTGGACTGAAAGGTCGTAACTACTGGTATATCACAGTAGTTGGCTATGTCTCCAAGTAGGCAGAACGTCTTGCTAACATTAATCTCTTCTGAATATTTCATCATACACGAAATGCCGGTCATCCTGGGAACTAAATCAGGCAGTTAATATACTTCACTAATTTTGCAAATGACTGAGAATTGCACAATTTACTTTAATAGTAAAGGACGAAAGATTTTCGCAGATTTTGACGGAAACATTCTGGAGTCTTTATTTTTGTTCGTCCAAATCCGTGAATACTGGCATATTTCACTTTTATCAACAACCTTCTTCACCAGTTTGGAAGATACCAATTTAAACACTTTTTTTTTCGAGATCTCATCAGAAACGCAAGTCGCAGAAACCAAGACAGAGTGATATTCTACTCCAACAGAAACACTACACTCATCTGAAAAGCACACTAAAATTAATGTAGTTCGCATTACGCTCAACCAGCATAAGTGCCGGTCAAATCACTGAATTCACTGTAGTAATATTATCCATGAGAACATGATCCTGATGTATGAAACTCGTACCCTAGTTGTCGCAAAATCCACTTTAGTCATTAAGGGATCACCAGATGTAGACAAAAAGCCATCAATCCAATTAAAACAAAAGTACTGTAGAGAACTGATCAGTTTGTGTCAGATTAAAGCATCAATCAGCTCAATCACTCCTAACAACGGAGCTCCTAATAAAACTATGCCACACTTTAACCTCCGATTTGTTTGGACTGAAAGGTCGTAACTACTGGTATATAACAGTAGTTGGCTATGTCTCCAGGTAGGCAGAACGTCTTGCTAACATTAATCTCTTCTGAATATTTCATCATACACGAAATGCCGGTCATCCTGGGAACTACATCAGGCAGTTAATATACTTCACTAATTTTGCAAATGACTGAGAATTGCAGTACATCACGAATAGCCCACGCTTCCCCAAAAGCAATAAAGCAGCGGAAGTATGCGTGAAGTCAAAACAATGTCGAATAAGAAAAAGTAAGTGTATCTTTCCCTGCGTGCATACAAAGCAATACCTATGGATTATGGTTTGAGTCCTAGTGAACTGTTAATGGGTTGAGACTTGAGGATCAATGTCCCAATCCATCGTAGTTTTCCCACTCCTAGTGGTTTTTAGAGAAAAGAAAACTAAAAAACAACAGTGTCACACATGTCATCTGAGACGCAGGGCAAAAGATCAAATACCACCAAGGACTGGAACTTCAGTGTTGATTAGGAGACTACAGTGCAAAAGAGGGCAGCTGAATTTAAGAGTTCATGACAGATGATTATAAATCAAACAGTCAATGCTATTAGCACATCCTATGAGAGAGATGAGAATATTCTGCACAATAAACTTTTCACGTTTCTGCTCGGTGGATCTTCTGTCACCTGACCAAAAGTGCATCAGGCTGATCACATCACGGGAAAATCTAAGAATGTTTGAAGCAAATCCAGCTGTTTCCTTGAATAAGTGTTGCGTTCATCACTTTCAACCAGAGACAAGTCATGCAGTGGAAACACTCCTCCTTACCTGTTCCAAAGAAGGTCAAGGTCATTTAATCCTCAGCTTTTTTGGGATGCAAAATGTATTATGCTTATTGACTATCATCAAAAGGGCCACACTATTAATGGCGAGTACTATGCCAAATTGATGAAGCAGTTACGAAAGCCTATCAGTATCAAACAACCAAGAAAACTGACGTAAGTGGTCTTGTTTCGTCAGGGCAATGTTCCAGCGAACAAAGTCCTTGGTTTCAATGTATGCTGGGTGTGACTGTGGCTGGTTGATCACCCTACAAATTCTCTTGATTTGACTATCATCTGCTCTCTAACATGAAAAAATACATGACTGGGGACCAGTATTGCAGTGACAATGACGACATATCTACTGTTGATGACATTTTGGAACAACAGGATGAACGGTCTTCATCAATCAGTACCTTTAAAAAAATGGAAGGCCATATTTTGAACAACTATTTATGCGAATCTCCAGATATTTGCAAACTCAGTTTATAACGGTAGAATTTAAGTTACTGCCTCTTGATATCCTGCACTAACAGGAGTGACGCCTCTTGAATGACATCACACTGTATGGGACGGCAGTTGGACATATTAGTTTCAACTTACATGTTTATTTATTCTTCATTTATACAATGTCAAAATATCTTCAACTTAAGAAAAAAACTAAGTTTTAGTGATTGGTTTAATTCTATGTTGTATGCGTAACTAATTTACATGAGCAGATCTTTAAATGCAAACTGATATAGATACCATGTAGATGTTGAAAATTTTACAATCCTGACTCTTATGTATTATGACACCTAGAAATATTAAATTGTAATATTACATATCATCTAAGTGGGAAGGGCATGAATGTTTTATAAACAAACATTCTAAATCCAAGTTATTTTTTACCTAGATTAAATATCAACTAAAATTGATACGTAAGTCAGAAAATGTTGTAAATTCTTTGAACTGTATAGCAAGTTTAGATTAATTTAGCAAAAAGCACTCAGTGAGAATTTGTAGCAAAGGTATGTGAGACATGTTTATAAACATTCGCTTTATGTGTACAGGTCAATAGCTTCGTTGTCTGTCATGAAGTTATTAGCTGAATTTTGATCGGAAATGTCCTCAGTACAATATTTGATCTAATTATTGTTAACTACATAATTATGGGATTTGACATAAAATCAATTTTATGTCATAAAATTAATGATTTTTCATTATTAGGCTGCAGGCTAAATTACAAACATTTATATAATAATAAAAAAAGTTAAATTATATACACAAATTAAGTAAAAGCTAAATACAAAAAGAAAATGCAGGAAAGTTACTAACACAATTTCTTTTAAAAGGAAGCAGCTAAAATGATGACAGACGGTATGTAAAAATTGATTGAATAAAATTTGAAAAAAAACTAAATGCAGCCTGATGGTAAAAAGATACATGAATAAAATTTGGTTTTTAAAAATTGAAAAAAAACTGAGTCTCAAGTCTGATGAAGTTAGCAAACAGGCGTGGTTTAAAGTGATACATGATGTTAAATTTTAAACTATGGGGATAGGAAATTACACCTTCAAAGGAATTGATATTTGATTCCATCTGAAGTGAAATGTAATGCTATAGATTAGCATCAGATTTATCAAATCTCATTTTTGCTAATATTTCTCTATTTTTCATTTTATTATTTTTGGGATCACTATTTTACTTCATGTTTTCCTTCATGATACTATATTTATCATTTTTGCCACTATTTTTCTCAAATTTTCTTATATTTATAACATTTTATTATTCTTATGAATTTATCACTATTTTTCGTCATATTTTCCTGGTTTTCTTCCATTTTACGATTCTTTATGATTTTTCTACCTATTTTCCTTCTTTTCATGATTTTGATATATTTGACTCTATATTTCATTTTTGTCAATATTTTTACTCAACATTTTTTTACATTTGTTCCATTTTCTATTTTTATGTTTTTTGTCATTTTTTCCTGCTTTCTTCATTTTACGATATTTATCAATTTGTTTATTTTTCAAATTTTTTACCTAATTTTTTTTTTTACAATTGGGATTTTTATGTTCCGTTCTCCCAGGGAAGAGTCAGAGGCCAATCTGACGCTGACTATTGACGTTGCCTCCTCCGCCAGTACCTTGGTACCACGTCCAAGCTCACCATCTGGTTGGATAGGATGGGGTCATCTTTGATTATTTCCACGGGCGGAGTTTCGGACATATGAAAGAGACTTTCCGATCAATGGGTCTACAAGGAAGCGACTCAGAGAGTGGCACACAGAGCCTTGGCAACTAACAATCGGCCTGAGTGGAATACCATCTTTGTGAATCTTAGGGAGACCGTATGTGTAAGGTAGCTTGGTGTAACGCTGCGATAACTGCCTATACATCTTAGGTGCGAAGTGATCCTTGTTCTTGATTAGGATCTGTGACAGTTTGCGTTCCGTTTTCATTGTAGGATCCTTTTTTTAGAATTTGGAGAGGTCAATTAACAGGAGATAACTGATAATTGACATTCATTAGACATAGCATGTGGAACTAGAACAGTCTACCCCAGCAAGCGAAATAAAGGGTTAAGTTCGACATTCAAACCACCTGAAGAAGGCCGGAGCGCAGAACAGCCGAAACGTTGTGATAAATATGGCAACAAAGATGAGGACAATAATCCGAATAATGTAAATAATGTAATACCTCATCTCAGAAATATAAACAGATACTTCAGTATTTTTCTTCATGTTTTCCTGCTTTTGTTCCATTTTTTACTCTTTTTATGATTTTTGTCCCTATTTCCTTCTTGTTTCATGATTTTCTTCCATTTTACTACATTTTTCAACATTTCTATCCAAGTTTCTTTGCTTTTGTTTCATTTTTCAATTTTTATCTTTTATTGTCACTATTTTCCTCATGTTTACTTGCATTTCTTCCATTTTTGTATTTTTATCCTAATTGTCACCATTTCTCAACTTTTCTTGAATTTGTTCTATCTTCCTGGTTTATGATTTTTCTCTCTTTTTCTTCCTGTTTTCCTGCTTTTCTACCATTTTACTATTTTTGCAACTATTTTTTCAATAACAATCCTTGCATCTATTCCAATTTACTCTTTTTATGATTTTTGTCTATTTTTTCATGTTTTCTGCTTTTCTTACATTTTAGTATTTTTATAATTTTAATCACTTTTTTCCACATGTTTACCTGCTTTTGTTCCATTTTAGCATTTTTCTTAAAACAATAGTCTCCTTAATATACCTAATTTCTGAAAGCAATTAAATACTTTTCTAATTAAATAATTTCATAGTTTTATTGCATTTTTTATTTTACAATTGATAGATTTTCGCTAAATGGTGTTTCTGGTTGACAAAAACATGATGGTTGCATGGAATTCTTTTAACTAATGTGAATATGAAGTTTGTGGAATTTTCATTTCTCAAAATTTCATAAAATTAATTAGAGAGTAAGAGATATATTTACAAATATTTTCTAACAAAAAAAAAAACTTCTAAAATAATTTCATTCATTTGTGAATAAGTCCTAAGAATTTCATTAAAATCCGACAATTATTTAATTTTTGCAAGAATACTAAATTTCCCTTGTTAAACTTTGGCCCACCCACTGACTCAAGAAAAACAAACATTTTTAGCAAAATTTTGAACGTGCTAGAAATGATTAAATATTTAATAAAAATATTCAAAAAATTCTTTCATCATTTTGGTAAAACAACTGTTTTTATTGCGTTTGGGGCCTTTTGCATCATGAATTTTTGGGGGTATCTAATATATTTGCACCAAGAAAATTACTTCAATATATTCAAATAAAAGAACAGTTCATTTCTATTTTGCAATTAAGGTAAGGCACATGGCAAGTGGTATACAGACATCTCTCGATTAATGCGCATTCGATTAATGCGTTTTCGATTAATGCGCTAAAATTTTATATACCAAAATTCGATTAATGCATACATAATACTCGATTAGTGTGGTAAAGCATTCTTCAGTTTAACCATAGTAATTGAAAATTGACTTTTTTATAGTTACTGATAAACACATTAGCTGCACTAATCGAGGGATTCCTGTACTTTAAATATAAAGAACTACAAGATTAAATTAAGCATTGTGTTTAGCACTCAAGATTAAATTAAGTATGTGATTAGCACTCTTTGAAGCTGAAATCCTCTTATTACAAATTTATATAATTTGAGGACTGGGTTTAATAAATAATAATTAAAATAAAAAAAATACTTTACCTTGTGCGAAAGCTCCCACCATAATAACATAAATTATTACAAAACGAAACATATCACCAATAATCATTTTATAAATCATAGTCACGAAAGGTCCGGTGAGTACCATGCCCCTAATGAACAGAAAAATATATTATTTTATAAAAAAGCATATAAAAAAACAATTAAACAGAGAAATAAATATATTGTAGAATAATAAAATCATTAATGAAGATTTTCTAAATCCACTTCATAATCGAATCGTTGATTCAAACTTTAAAATGAATTGGTTGTTTAAAAGGAACAGCAAAACTATTAAATAATACAATTTTTTTAAAGATAGAGATAAATTAATGAAAATTACATGAAGTTCGGTAGATTTGTTTTATTTTCATATTTACAGTGTTGTACCGAGATTTATTCTTTTTTTTTTTTTAACTCAATTCATCTTTTTGTCTCTTTATTTCTGGCCCTAACAAGGCTACAACAGAAAGTTGTATACCTGCTATGTTAACCTCACAACAACATCAATAGAAACTCTTCCATTTATTAGAATTCTATCTTCCAACAGGACTCCACGGAATATCTCGAACTATATTTGTTCACAAAGTAGTACGTGTCTGGTGAAGACCCCAATACCTAATCATTTCAAATATCATTAGTTAAAAATGAAAGAGAGGAGGAAATGCGAGACCCAAACTATTTATAATATAAAAAAGCAGAATATACAAGAGTGATCTGTTTTTAAATGACTTTAATTTTTTAAATAATGTAACACTACATTGTCAAAAGACATATGACAATGGTAATAGAAATATCAGCGTTCATTAGTCATTTTGTTGGCTGAAAGTGAAATTTATAAAATCTTTCTATCAAAATAATTTTTCATGAAAATATTTCACAAGTCCAGTAGCTGTTAATGATCTTTCCATTATTGATGGGGCTTCCTTAGTAAACTTTTTGTTTGACGCAATGTCAACATCTTGATTTTATCATTATTTTCTCAATCTCTCATATATATATATATATATATATATATATATATATATATATATATATATATATGTATATATATATATATATATATATAATGTATAAAAATAAGCATAATATATAAATATATATATGCAATTTTTTATATATATTATTTATATATTATATATGCGCGATACTTATTAGAAAGCGCTCAATATCAGTAATAGAGCTAACATATTTAGTTGGATTGGTGTGAGTTTGTGACCCTGGTTTTCACGTTATTTGTGATCGTCAGACAAAGTCTGTTTGACGATCGCAAATAGCGTGAAATTCAAGGTCACAAACTTACACCAATCCAACTAAATATATATATATATATATATATAAGTATTAAAAACGAAGAGAGAAACCGGCCTGTACAACTAGCAAAATAGTCATAATATTGCAACCATATACTAAACAAATTAAAAGCCACACCAGAGACGATATTCACTTCCTTAGCTGCATACCAAAAAAAGTAGATCTGGGAACACTTATGGCAACTTTTGACATTAGTAGCCTATACAGCAACATACCCCATGAACTAGGTAAAAAGGCAATCTCATTCTGCATTGAAACACATCCAGAAATACTACATCTCAGATTCACTAAGGAGTTCATTATCATTAGTATAGACCTAGTTCTAAACAATAACACCTCTGAATTTAACAACAAAAACTATATCCAACCCTAGGTACTGCAATGGGAACAAAAATGGTACCAACATATTAGCTCACCTAGAAGAAAACCACTATGAAAGGATAGCATAAATATATGGGGAAAATATAAAAACCCAATTCACTAAATCTTGGAAACGATACTTAGATGATTGCCTCATTTTCTGGAAATCCTCATGGGGTGATATTAACCAATTCCACACTCTACTTCAAATTCACGAAATAATATAATTTCAACGAATTACCATTTTTAGATATACTCATTAGAAATAAAAACAATCACATAATCACAAATATCTACCACACCTACAAACACCCAACAATATCTTAATTTCAAGAGCCAACACCCCAAAAGCTGCCTGAAATCCATCCCTATTCTCTAGAACGTAGGGTTTCTACTACAGTGACTGAAAAACGCCTCCGAAAAACCCCGCTTAGAAGAACTATATAAAACTCTAAAAAAAACGAGGCTACCCCACAACACTAGTAAACAAAGGTTTTGAACTCGCAAAAAAATTCCTTTAGACCAACTTCGAAATAAAAAGAAATGTAACGTCGAACAAACTCTATCATATATCTCAACATACAACAAAAACAATCCAGAAATATTCACAGAAATTACAAAAAATCTCGACCTACTTAGCAAGAATAATAAACTGAAAAATATACTAAAAACAACAAAAGTAATTAAAAGCAAACTCTAAAAACCTAAAACACATCTAAATTTAACCAACACACAGTACAGGGAGTCACAAAATGCAACAAAAAAGGATATGGGGTTTGTGACATCATTATAGAAGGAATCTCCTACACTTTTGAAAACCCCAAAACGACATAAATAAAAACTTAAACGGCAACTCCAATAATGTGATTTATGAACTCAAATGCACAAAATGCATGAGGTCATATATAGGTATCAGTCAACAACTGAACAACAGGGTCTCCCTACACAAAAGCAATATAAAAACCAGACAACAGAAAACTTTTTGCATCACAACACATCTTTAAATATAACTAGGGTAAATTTAAAATTATGCCAATATATCAAACAGGCAATTATTCTTACATACAAATACAAGAAAAAACTTCATAAACAAATTTAAACCAGAACTAAATAGATCATTACCCCACACAAAAAAAAAAAAACAACACACACAAATGGCACAAATACAGTGATCAAACCATCACATGCACACACACGCTCACATGCGGGTGTCTGGAATATTATGAATATATATACACATATTGAAAAAAGCAGGGGACTAGTCACGGGCACGCGCGCAAACCCGCACAACTTAGGAAGTATTATGTATGTACATTTATGTATGTATATATGTATGTATGTATGTATGTATGTATGTATGTATGTGTGTGTGTGTGTATACTGCTTATTCCTTGTAACTTGGGAAGTATATGTATATGTATGTACGTATATATGTATGTGTGTATGTATATATATATATATATATATATATATATATATATATATATATGTATATAGATACGCATGCTGATATATATATATAATATATATATATATATATATATATATATATATATATATATATATTGGCAAAAAAACAATGGGCACACATTTGAACACTACACATAGGAATGTGTGTATGTGTGTGTTTATATGTGTGTATATATATGTGTATATGTGTACAAATGTGTTTACTAATTCCTCGTAATAAGACAGTGTTTATGTATGGAGAGGAAATATACATATAAATACGCACGATAACAAAAAAAAAAACAAAAATGGAAATAGATCTAAGAACACACAGGGACCATTAAAAGATAAGAATGCCGATATAACTCCTTTACCATTTCTCGGATCAATCTTAATTGTTTTATAAACCTTCACGCAGAACTTTTTCACTGCCAATATTTGAAGACATTTGGGTCAATGACAACACAAGAAAAAGAAATGTCTCATAAAGAATATTTAACATCGCAAAAAGAAAAAAATTAAACTTATTTTTAAAAAAATGTTAGAAGAAGATCCTCCGCTTTTACGATGAAGGTGTTTGCGAGACTGGAAACAATGTAGAAAATTATGGAAAAAAAAATATAATATTTTTTATTAGAATTTATTATATATATATTATATATATTATCTATATATATCTCTATTTATAACTTTCTTCTTTATATGAACATTAATGCGAATTAATTGACAAACATATTGAATAGAGGAAAAATATTTTATTTTATTCCATCATAATTAAAAACTATGTGATTAGTTTTTAGAAAAATTTGGTTATATAAAACAAATTAAATATATTTTATTATTATTTTCCATCGGTCTTATCTTCATCATTTATTTGGATAAATCGTTGCTATCTTTATTTTGCTTTTCTTTCTCTCTATCAACCAAATTTTAGCTGAACCATTTTATACCTGAACCAGTCCATTTCTATAAGCCAACTTGGGTAATATATAAATATATATATATATATATATATATATATATTATTATATATATATATATATATATATATATATATATATATATATATATATATATCGTGACACAATTCAGGAAGACATTTGGGTCACGTAAGGTGTTACTTATTGAAAAATCCTTTCATTTTGAGGAATATCAAAATTTTAACATCGAAAGGAGAAGAAAATGGCGATTGACGTTTTTTTAAGTTTTAAAAATTTTTAGTTATTTCTTTGTCTGTAAATGAAGGGTGTTCCGGAAAAGGGTATATAAATAGATTATGGAAAATGTTGTAGTAATAGGCTTTTTAAAATTTTACTATTTCAAACCAAAAAATGTTTGGACCAAGATCCAATCTAGTCTTTTTAAATACACATGTTTCAATTAGAATATAAATAACCTCTTCCTTTTGTATATATATAAAATGTTGTGTAAAATGTGTGTGTGTCTTGTGTGACTGTTTGTGTCGTGTTGTGTGGTAAATGTACTCAATAAGAGTTAACAAAACATATTCATTAATTGCTGTTATCCCAGGTCTAAGGTACCTTACCCGTTGGGGTGGTAGTACCTATCACATATCAACTTGGAGTGCAGTCTTTAAGGACATTATGTCTTCTCTTCAATTCTAATCTTTATATATATTTTTTTTTTTTGGCTGAACACGCAAATTAATTTTTGAGTAATTTGGACCAAATTTTTAATAGTTTTGAGTATACTGTCTTGCCAAGCACAGTTCCATAACATAATATTATTTTCAGTCTTTATATTTTTTGGAATCGTTTTATTTTTAAACATTTTGAATAAAAGTTGTTTGATGGGGTTTTCACCCTTCGTGGTTTTATATCAAATCTATTTTAGCATATTTTTTGGTGGAAAGTTTATATATTATATATATTATATATATATGTTTATATATATATATATATATATATATATATATATATATATATATATATAAATATA